GTTAAGGAATTCCTCCCTACGTTTTCTAGTCGATACCAATGCGGCCATTTCTGGGGTCAACGAAGCCCATAACAAGTACTCTTTCTCATCGGCACTAAATCGCTTCATTAGAAGGTGATGTCCTTTGAAGAATTTCCCAGTCAATCTATTATTTCATGATAGAAGATCGAAAATGAACAGAAAGGAATTCAGAATTGCACCTGCATATTGCATCAGAAGCGTGTTGCTGCTTGCTAACGGCCTCTCGAAGTGTTTCAAGAAAATCTACGCGAAATGTACGCAGACAGAATCGATGCTGCTTCATCAAATACTCCCTATGTGGTATCAATCTAGAAGCATATGATGTTCAACGGTCACTATGACAATTCCGACTGATTCCACACAAGAACCACATAAACAATCAGAAACCCACCCAAAAATGTACATATCGACAAAATGTAACATCGATAAGATTTGCTGAACGCCTTCGTCAAAGCGATTCGCCGAATGTATGTAATAACTAATGAGACGTTCGATCAAAAACCACGCCGAGAAATGACTCGATGCANTTAATAGGAAGTTTAACCTGCGACAAAGCCTCACTGAAGGAGATTCTTTTGAATGGTATTTTGTACTCCAAAAGAGCATTCAGTAATTCAATGATATGCTGATACAACTGTATCCCATTGAATTATATGGATAAAAGCGAATCAAAACAACAGATCAACCAATGCCACGCGGAAATTTAATGGCAATAACCGAAAACATCATATACCCATAAATATACCCAAAAATTCAATTCATATAATCTCTTATAATCTCATATAATCTGTGCCCTTAATTACAACTACAATCATCACTACTCCGTATGTGATATCACAAATTCTCATTCTCTGTATAGTTTTTGTACCATTCGCTTTCATGCGTCGCAGAAACCCAATAGGCAATCGCAAGAGTGAATCATGAGACATTCAACGAGAGCGTAATCTAAACCTTCCAAAATGTTGTATTCGGTTGACGATAAGCGAAAACAGATAGAGCCTCATTAACGATCGCGACGTCATCATCGTCCACCAGTCCACTGTCGATGAATTTACTCGATACGCTCAAAACTGTTTGCTCGGACAGAATGCACGATGACAGCTTCTTGTCGGCAATCATCTGCATTCTTCGATTTTCACGTGCCACCGTCTCTACGTCCACTTCATCATTCGTCTCATTCATCCTATTCCACTCACTGATTTCGTTCACAATTTCGGACACATTAAACTTAAATGAAATGAGTTCATAGCTCTGAGCACAATCGGCTGCCGCTACATTCAGCTCCTCAGCCATATTTCAAGACCAATTTATCTCTTATATGAGTAACATCGCATATAATCCATGATTAGAATCCATATGCTACATTCCACGAGTTCAACTATCACGGGTTGCCGAGCGATATCACTATTATTTCAATCATTAGTATTACCATCCTATCGTAACGGCTCTCATTAAAACTTTTGAATTCAGCTTCATCAAGACTGTGAAATGCTGTCATAATCGCAACCACAAACGAAAATATGATCGCTTGGAAAGTGCTAAGTCAACAGTACACAGATAAATGTCTAAGCTGGCGGCATTCCCGTACTGCAATTAAAAAAAAAACTTCAAAAATGCACCGATCCGAAACAATCATATGGAAATCCGTCCATTTATTGAAATCAGCTCCGATTAAGGTCTCGAAAGCATTTCAAACGATTACATCTCTAAAGAATACGAGAAAACTCATTCAGTGTCATTCCGCTTATCCAACACACAAAATATAGATGAAATCTGCTGTGAACGTCGTACAGATAACCAAAAGTTCTACTTGATCAGACAGCAGCGATGACAGTGAATGAGTTTATTCCAAGATCGCTCGTCACATAACAAACACAATCACCAATAGACTAAACGATTCAAACAAGACTATACTCTTCAATTAACACATACTGACAAGATAATAACGTGAAGTTCTAGTCACTGAATGAAATATTCGAAAAAACGAAAAAAGAAATACAAAACATGGGCTTCACCTATACACGTGATAAGTGACAACAGCAAAACAATGCTAGTTCACTCAAAAAGTTCCTCAAGAGACATCATGCAACGTCTACCCATTTGCCGTATATGATGAGACCAAGAAGAAAACAAACAACGCCATTCTCACCCTATAATTCAAAAGACCGTAATAAAACAGGTGACAGTGTTCAGCGCGTAACAGATTCAATTATTATCACTTTCCATAATCTTCAACAAAACGATAACTAAATACACTTCATAACAACACATATTCAAACAACTGAAATAACTTCATCCATCGAATACTTCTTCAGATATCAATCAATCATCAATGCGGCAACAATGATGAATTTGTTTTGATGTCCTGAAATAAAACATCATAAAGATATGAACATTTAAATTGATCATTACATAAAATAATAAAAATCTCATTCACTTCCGCAATAATTTCAGAAAGTTTCAATTTATGTTACATTATCGTTAAACTGAACATAAATTCAGCAATATTATCACTTCAGATCAGTTTTAAATCCGACATCCACAATAGTCATTTGTATATCACAAACGATTCGTCTGAATGCATGGACAGATGTGAAACCTTTGTGAGTCATACATTGTATCTGAGCGAGACTGCTCCCTGGCCAGCACGCGATTTCTTCAAGCAACCTCGGCACCATTTATAACAACAACATATCGGCAAACAACAACATGCCAAACAGCAACAAAATGCCACCGAGAGAATACATATGAAGGTCAGTACCAATATCCTGTAAGCAACGCCATCACCCAAAATGAGGAATCTCTTTGTGAATGATTAATCAGAAAGCAAATATTGAAGAATCACTATTCCCCACTCGGATGAATGAAATGAGCGATAAAGATGAGACTGCAAGCTGCGGATATGGATGCTCACAATCCAANGAGGAAATTTCTTGAAATCGAAGACCTTGACGCATCCGTAATTCAGATTTCATATTAAAGATGTGGCAAACTAGAATCCCGAATAAACGAAGTGATCGTCCAAATAGCAATCAGATGAAACGAAACACTGACAAGCTAAGATCAGGAGCACAAGCGACCATTGGCATCGTCGAGTCATTACAATGGTCGACTTCATAACATGAGAAACGACATAAGTCTTTGCAATTTTGCATTGTTTGATAACATGTCACTGACACTCCAGACACTGATGTGCCTCCATATGGCTGTTGGACTTGGAGCTGCGCTGATTCGTCGCCATCTGACTCCGCTGCATTCGCTACTCCAATCACTACTAAAACTACACTCAACTGTTGACGATTATTTGGGAAAATAATTATGGAATCATACTTCTTCTCAGTATCCACAGAACATCACAAAATGAAATAACAAATATTCAACTCAATGAATGAATTATACGATGAGCGATACACACTGCAATATTCAAATAAATTGAATAGAAGATAGTCTCACGAGTTTGTTTCAGTGCGAATAACGAGAAAATAATAATTTCAACGGAGAGCAAACTGACTTGCTAACAGAGTAAGCGATTGCATGAAAACAGCATTCATCAGACTGATCATTGATGTGACGACAGTCATCTTGAGCAGAACTTCAGTTTATGAGTAATGCGATCGAGGACAACGGAGACAATAGCTTGGCACTTTTCGATGTGTTCAAATCTCTTCTAACAATAAGTTCTTTCTCAAAACACCGGTTAACTAAAATCTATTTCCATCACCTGCTCACACAAAGAACCA